GCAGCCTCTTTACCAAAATCTTTGAAGTATTTCTTCGAGCAGAGATTGACGCTGTGAAGATGTCTTCAAGAGATTTCATTGTAATTGTTAGTCATAGGAGTTACTTTGTATTTTCTTAGATTTTAGGTCCAAACCAGTGTATCTGTAATTGTTATGAGTATAAATAAAGTGACAGGTCTTTCAAAAAAAAAAACCAATAGACCCAGAGACAAAACTGTAGCACATGCATACAGGATTTTCTGCATATGTTTCGAATCAATTGAAATCAACGATCCGTCTCGCTTTGTGGATCGGCAATCAGTAGGCAGCCGATAGCAGCCGGTAGATCGATGATCGGCAACCAGTAGACGAATCACACAAAAAGATGCAGGCGCCGGCTGACACGCCATCATGTCAGCCGACACCGCCACGCTGTCCCGAACTGCACAGTTCAAGTAATCGGTGCCCTATAGGCCACCGCGCCTCTTTTTAAAAATAATTTGTTTGATACAAAATGTAAAGCCCTATTGCTGCCATCTCAGTTTATTAAAAAAATTGGAACATTTTTAAAAGAGAAAAGTATACTTTTCGTCCTTAAACTCTTGACAAAGTCTAAATTTAGTCCTCCAACTACGAAACCGGACAATTTGCACCCCTAACTCTCAAAATCAGACAATTTAAGTCCCTCTCCCGATTGCAAGTGGTTTCATGATGATGTGGCATGGTTTTGGCCGGGTCTATGTCCACGTGGCTATCCCTGGTGGATCTCCTTCCTTCTTTCTTCTAACTCAGCTGGGCATTTTGACGAACAGTGGGTGTGCGTGCAGTCGCAGCGGCACGAGAAGGACGTGGGCGTGGAAGCCTCCGACGAGGTGTCTCTAGTCCTGGCGACACCCGTAAGGCCGCTCCGCAATGTCGGCGTGTCGCTGGCGCGGGAGCTCATGGCGGTGGCCGACGACGCGCTCAAGACCACTTGCCCACTCCAGGCGCTCCTTCCCTCAGCTGAGTCAGCTCTCGCAATCGCTCCAGCCTACAGCCATGCCCGAGCGGATTGCGGCCGCAGCCGCGGCGAGCAGAGTGGCAGCGACAGCAGAGCTCGAGGGCGTCCTCCAGGTTGGGCATGCAGTTGGGGAACATGCCGTCGGGATCGAGAACCCCAGACAGCGGGGCGGCGATCCGCACCGTCTCTGCGTTGGGAACCCAGCCTACGGCGAATCTTGCCCCTGCTCGGCAACTACGTCGCCGGACCCAACTGCATCCTGGTCTGCGAGCTCCTCGAACAAGGCATCCTCAACGACTGGCCCGCTCCCATGGCCGTTGTCTGTGAGCTCCTGATGGCCATGCATGCGTGCACGGTCGCGCCTCGGCTTTGCCGGCCACCGTCCGTCGGCTGCCAGCACCGCTGCGAGCTGCTGCACCATCGTCGTCTGCCCCGTGCTCCTACCAAGTTGCTCGTCGACACACCATCTGCGCGTTGGCCAAGCTCGCCGTGCAGAGACATCGTTGGCCCTGCTGGCCATCGCCACTGCCTCCGTGCCTTGGTCAAGCTCGCCATGCCGAACCATCCTCGGTCATACAGGCAGCGCCGATGCATGCAGATGGTTGATTGCCGGGAGATCTTGATGGGTGATGGCCAGGAGAGCAGCATGGACCATGCGAGCGGCACGCACTGTTGGGAACGTAGCAGAATTTTAAAATTTTCTACGCATCACCAAGATCAATCTATGGAGTCATCTAGCAACGAGGGAGAGAGGAGTGCATCTACATACCCTTGTAGATCGCGCGCGGAAGCGTTCAAGAGAACGGGGTTGATGGAGTCGTACTCGACGTGATCCAAATCACCGATGACCTAGCGCCGAACGGACGGCACCTCCGCGTTCAACACACGTACGGTTGGGAAGACGTCTCCTCCAACTTGATCCAGCAAGGGGGAAGGAGAGGTTGATGGAGATCCAGCAGCACGACGGCATGGTGGTGGAAACTACGGCGATATCGGCAGGGCTTCGCCAAGCACAGGGAGATGGAGGAGTGTCACGGGAGGGAGAGGGAGAGGCCAGGGGCTAGGGTGCGGCTGCCCTCCCTCACCCCCCACTATATATAGGGTCCCTAGGGGGGGCGCCGGCCCTAGGAGATGCCATCTCCAAGGGGAGGGGCGGCGGCCAAGGGGTGGCTTGCCCCCCAAGGCAAGTGGGGCGCCCCCCACTCCTAGGGTTTCCAACCCTAGGCGCAGGGGGAGGCCCATGGGGGGCGCACCAGCCCACTAGGGGCTGGTTCCCCTCCCACTTCAGCCCATGGGGCCCTCCGGGATAGGTGGCCCCACCCGGTGGACCCCCGGGACCCTTCCGGTGGTCCCGGTACAATATCGATTACCCCTGAAACTTCCCCGATGGCCGAAACTTGACTTCCTATATATAAATCTTCACCACCGGACCATTCTGTAACTCCTCGTGACGTCCGGGATCTCATCCGGGACTCCAAACAACTTTCGGGTTACCGTATACTAATATCTCAACAACCCTAGCGTCACCGAACCTTAAGTGTGTAGACCCTACGGGTTCGGGAGACATGTAGACATGACCGAGACGACTCTCGGTCAATAACCAACAGCGGGATCTGGATACCCATGTTGGCTCCCACATGCTCCTCGATGATCTCATCGGATGAACCACGATGTCGAGGATTCAATCAATCCGTATACAATTCCTTTTGTCAATCGGTACGTTACTTGCCCGAGACTCGATCGTCGGTATCCCAATACCTCGTTCAATCTCGTTACCGGCAAGTCACTTTACTCGTACCGTAATGCATGATCCCGTGATCAACCACTTGTCACATTGAGCTCATTATGATGATGCATTACCGAGTGGGCCCAGAGATACCTCTCCGTCATACGGAGTGACAAATCCCAGTCTCGATTCGTGCCAACCCAACAGACACTTTCGGAGATACCTGTAGTGTACCTTTATAGTCACCCAGTTACGTTGTGACGTTTGGCACACCCAAGACACTCCTATGGTATCCGGGAGTTGCACAATTTCATGGTCTAAGGAAATGATACTTGACATTGGGAAAAGCTACAGCAAACGAACTACACGATCTTTGAGCTATGCTTAGGATTGGGTCTTGTTCATCACATCATTCTCCTAATGATGTGATCCCGTTATCAATGACATCCAATGTCCATAGTCAGAAAACCATGACTATCTTTTGATCAACGAGCTAGTCAACTAGAGGCTCACTAGGGACGTGTTGTGGTCTATGTATTCACACATGTATTACGATTTCCGGATAACACAATTATAGCATGAACAATAGACAATTATCATGAACAAAGAAATATAATAATAACCATGTTATTATTGCCTCTAGGGCATATTTCCAACACGCACAACACTAGTTCGATATTTTGTCTCGATGGAGTTAACATGACCGTTGCGTGTGTGTTTTCTTTTTCTTTTTTTTTGTCCGTAAAAGCTTGGCCACATGTCACTCTGGACCGGTCAAAACCACGTTGAGTCAGCATAGATACCGCTTGAGGGACAATACTTGTCCGGTTTCAAGAGTTTGGGGTGCAAGTTTTCCGGTTTCATAGTTGAGGGACCAAATTTAGACTTCGCCAAAAATTAAGGGACGAAAAGTATACTTTTCTCTTTTTAAAATTGTTTGGGGAATATAATGTAACACATCCAAGATTTCGGTAGTTGAACGTTCAAAATCAAGGCTCAATCTATTTCTATTCTACTATCTTGACAAGTCTATAATTCATGGAGTTGCAATGCATTTATATTATTTTTGTTTGGTTCCAATGCATTACTTTTTATGGCCGCTTTTGTTTATCTTGATGATGCACTTAAGAGTGGTTGTTGGACCTGAAATTGTGTTGCAAGTTACTTTTCATCATCCATGGATCACCCAAGAATTATATGAGCCCACTTGATATTCTTGAGTTTTTGAAGAAGCGCCCCTTCTATCCTAAAGGTATCATTGCATACAGATTAAACCATTCCTATGACAGTTACAAGTGCGCAAACAAGCTTTTCTAAACTCAAGTTGTTGAAATCATACTTGTGTTCTACTATGACAGTTGACAGAAGAAAGATCCAATGGATTGGCAACAGTAGCACTTGAAAATGATATCTTGGAGAATAATAATTATGAATATATAGTTATGCCTTTCGTCTTTTGCATTGATATTTGACAAATTTCTAAATATTGTGTGAAATAATGCTTTTGTAAAAAAAATATGGTCCCATTTGCTTTTCGCACCAGGGCCCCAAATTTCTAGAGACGACCTTGTCACTTAAAATTAGAGGCTTAAATAGCTAACTAAATACAACAAGGAAGGATAAATGACGAGTGGAATCATGCCGCCGGATGGAGTTGATCACTCTTGACCGTTAGAGTGAAAGGGGTGAAGGGAATAATGTTTTTCTCCTGTTTTGGCAAGCTTCATATTTATAGTTTGTTCAGAATGTTCCAAAGTTTCAGAGTCCTTAATAGACAGCACTTAAACAAATATTCTTTTTCTTATTTCATTCAACTTTTCTCAACTTCGTGTATGGTTCAGGATTAATGCAATTGTGTGAGGTATTCGTTATCTAGACAGTGCCGCGCG